GTGAAAATTATCTTTCTCATGCCATGATGACAGCAGTCAGTCAGCTCTGTTCCCTGTGGCTGTCAATTACATGGCCCCGCCTATTTTTTAAGGGGATTATAGACCTATCGTGAGCCACGCAAAAATAGACTGAAATAATATTATGAAAAATAACTTTTTTCACTGTATAGATAACTTTCTAAAATAAGTTTGTGTAAATAACGTAATTTCCAAGGAAATACATTTCAGCTAGTTTCCATATACTTCCATTGAGCGGAAATTATTCTGCAGCCAGCCATATGGGGGCGATCACTGCGGTTTGGCTTCACTCCACAGAAGTGAGACACAGAACTGATTGAGGTTGATCACATGATGGCAACAGTAAGGCTGGCAAAGTGTATTGGAACTCGACTCATACTATCCATATGCATAGTGTATAGTAGTTACATTTTAACACGTGCTGGGTATGTATAAAATTAAAACATAAAATGGGAGGAAACTCTTATTGTTAGTAATAGAAGATTATTCAAGTATTTTTTTATTTAATGCTGTTCACATACTTTGAACTTAATGTGAGCTTGGCTGTTGAAGAGTCTGAAAATATACCCCTCTGCCAAAGGGTTGTGTGTAATTGTTTATTTTTTTTGTGTGTTATTTTACTACAAGAGTACATCTTCCGGCTGTTCAAACACCACATCTTTCATGTGGTCTTGAAACAAACCCACTATATTCATATATTAAACATCTAATTGGTAATTTTTTTTTAGGTAGAATTAGTCCATCAGATGGCAATGGCTTGATTCAAATGTATTTCAAGTGTATTTTCCCAAGATATAACAGGATTACTAGTGTTAACATTGATAAGTTAGCAGTTTCTCATTGCTCACGAATAACTGGATGACTCATACAAAAAGGTAATCACTGGCAGTGATGTAAACCGGCTGCAGGGCAAACCCCGTTGTAGTGGAATACCCTTGTTGAGGTCTGTACAGTCAGTCACTGAACTGAGCATAAATCAATCTCTGAAGATTAGCCAATGGAATCGCTCGTCTCAAATAGCGTTTCAATATTTCCTCCAATGGGATGCGGCCTTACATGTAGTGCTGCGCACCCATTGGCTGAGACGGCCGAGGACGGCTTCCGAAGGTCTCCGTACACCCCTTCTCTTTCGCAGGTGGTGCGAGTTCGGAAACAGCTTGCTTTGTACGGGATGAGCTGAGGCAGTTGATGTAATCAACGTAATTTATTTCCCGTTTCGTGTTTTTTTTACAGCATGTGCCAGTACACGCGCCGCGTGGTGGCGGGGCGTGTTTTCACTCCACTCAGGCCACTTTCTTCTGGTTTATATACCCTGCTGCATTAAAGCGTGTGCCATATTACTGGTGCTATCATTGTCTGCATTGACAAAAAGAGGAGAGCGAGAATGAATGTTTTTGCAGCGCAGAGCGTGAATGAAAGCCGCATTTGAACGGAGACAACTTCACGTACGTTTACAAATAAAACTACGGGATCTATCGGTTTTCTCCTCCGAGCATCGGCGTCTGATGTGGTCATGCCTTTTGTTTTAATTCGGGAGACGAGACTGCGGAGCCATTTGCACGATGATGGTGATTCACGGCTGGACGGAGTTTAAAAAATGAGGAAGCATTTTTTTCTAAAGATACTAAAAAGATAGAAGAGAGGCCTCGTTGTTCTGCAGGCCGTGATCGGTGCATGGAAAACGGCAGAGGAAAGGAAGGACGAGCGAGCCTGATGAATAAAAATCGAGTGAAATGGAGCACGAGACACGCGCGTGGGGAAATATGGACCATATCAATAATGACGGCCGTGAGCGCGAGAACCAGATCGATCCGAACAAAATGAAGCACTTCGCCTCTTGAGCATTTAAACTGATATTTTTATTTGCGATTTAAACGAGAGGGGATTCCCGTGCTTTCTGGGAGTTGGAGACCGCACTTGAGTTCCATGCAAGTTCTCCCCTCCGCCTTATTTTGATACTTTACTTGTTTTTTCCCACTGCTGTTTTGCATTATTTTTCATCTGGATCCAAAGCGTTGATAATATTCAATGGAATTATGTTATCAGTTACCGGTTTTGCCTCTAGACAGGCCGGTTCCCAAACATGTCCTCAGCCGGAGGGGAGCCATTAGTTTCAGCTCCAGTTCCTCTTTATTTGGAGCCCCCGACCCGAGGCAGCTGTCACAGGTAAAGAACAAAACATTTGGGCTGTGTGTCAAAACCTTGCCAGCTGTCTTCTTAGTGTACCACACGCGCATTCCCAGAGCATCTATGTTTAAGAAAGAACCAACGTGTGTTCAGATGTTCTTTGTCTAAATCTAAACAAAACCATGTTTCCTACGCGACTTTCGTCTACAAGAGTAAAGTAACAGTACAGTTTGTCCACTGTGGAACCAACCGTCATTAAAGTTGCATTTATTTGAAATTTATGCTCTTTTTATCAACGAGTGGTGATATTACCAACGTAAAACGTTACATAGTTCTTTATAACTTCTGTTGTGACCGATACAAACTGGACATTGCCAAGTTGTAAAATTCTTAGTCATTCTCATTGGAATCCCAACATGCTAGTCACACTGTATGTTTTGCTATAAGTGGATTCAGGAAACACTTAGCAAGATGCTCTTTGGGAAAATGTTAGCTCAATGGAACACTGTAGAAATGGTTTAAATTCTCCTTTCTTATCCAGTTCACAAGGTTTTGATACAAAGCCCAACTTCCATCCATGTTCAATCATTGTTGTGGTTGTTTATGCTAACTCAGATGTCTCCAAGTGACACTTGACTAGAGACTGTAATTGACTGTTGCTTCTGTCATACTGTAGTGTTACTGACACAAATATGTTTTGTTGTTCCTTTGGGCCACATGCTGACAGTCTTTCATGCTCAAACGTTTACTCTCCTCTAACACCCACACAAACACATGTAGACCTTTTGCAACTTGATCTCACTGGGGAGGTTTTAGGTGTATCACAGCTAATCTACCGAGACAAAGGATTAATCTGGTGCCATCAACAAGTTATTTAATTTAAATTAAAGTCAACGTTTTATTTTTAAATATTGGTTTAAGGGGTCATGAACTGAAGAATCAAAAAGTGCTGGAACTTTTGAAAAACTGATTTTCTTCAGTCCAAGAAAAGCCTACGTTCACACTGAGATCTTTTTACTTAGTTTAAATTAATTTGATGAAATCCAATTTCTATGGTGTGCTCATTCACCTTACTTATAAAAGGCTTTCCTGTGGCTCAGTTGGTAGAGCAAAGGTGGTGGGTTCAAATCCCAGCAACAACTGACAAAGAAATGTGTTCATTTATTCAAATGTAAGTTGCTTTGGATAAAAGCATCTGCCAAACGCAAATGAATGTAACACGACTCATATTTAATCTGTGTGTGAATGTGTGCTGAGGAGACGATGTCATGACGCAGTTCGCAGTTCATGGGTGTAAATAGTGACGTGAATGCTTCGCTAGTGGTTATGTGGCTTTGTTGAAGATGTGTGATCAGAGAAAACTTCATTATTATCAAATATTATGAAGAAGACAAACTGTTTTCAGAATAATAGTGGAAGCAATTTTATTTTTACTTCTTTTAATATGCCTCTGTATCGAAATCAATGGTCATAAAGCACATCTCAATGGAGATTGATGATTATAAAGTTGCTCAGACTCATTTCATATGCAGGTTGTATATTGACAAAAAACCTCTGATTTGAGTTGCATTGGGCTGCAGCGTGTTACTTGTGTACTTTGGGTTTTTCATCCACGTTTTTCTTAAGTCTTGTTTAAAATGGAAGAATGTTCACTGTACCATGTATGGCTGGGGTGTACCAACATAGTACTGAAGTAACTAGAGCTAAGAGCAGAAAACAATCCTGCGGCTAAAGTCTTCTTAATGCATTTGTCAATGACGTGGTGGTGTTTTTTTCAATTATTACTACTTAATTTTTGCCGTTTTTAAAAAAAAAACCATCACGTGTTTTGCACTGTTTGGTTACATTGTTGGCTGAATAGTGTTGAGAAAGCGTGTGAGAGAATATTTCACAAAAGCAGAGAAATGCACTCTCTGCCACAAACCATGCTTCTGCTACAAGCAACATGCACAGCTCACTCACAAGCACTGATCTGTTCTTTTTGAAAATATCTATTACATAATAAAGCTTGAACTTACTGGGCACTTGAGCAATCCATGTTTGGGATGGCAAGACTGCTGTATAGAAACAGAAGAAGAATATTCACGTTTCAATTCTTAACTGATCATAACACTGTTGGAACTGCTTGCAAAGTTATTTCCAAAAGAATGTAATAATTACTTAAGACAAAACTCTAAAAGACTCCACACACTAGTCCAAATTGAGATTTGCCCGAATCTACGCATGGTTTGTCAGCAGGGTACTCTTTGTCTGCATCAGGGAAATATTGATGCAATGAAACTCCCTGTGTGAAAATGTGTTTGCGGTACAACAGATGCTCACTGCGCCAAATGGGTAAAGGGGACAGAAGAACAAAAAAATCATGGATGTCGAGCAGTTTATACTGTTGATGGCTGTTCACAGGGAGTTGTTTGACAAAAATATGGAGAAAAGAGAGGATTCTCGGTGAGACAAGTCGCTATGAAAATGTGGGATGAGCAGTTCTTTTATGTCCTACTCATGTCACCAAAAAGCCAGCTTTCATTGGTCATTCTCCCGTTGAATCTGATGTCACTCTGAAAGTCTTTTTTTTTTCCTTTTCTCTTTCCCCCCTGTTGGCAGCTCTCATTTGATTTGATATGTGATGTCCCGTTAGCACCCATGGTTTAGTATTGAGGCGCGTCTTCGCACAAAACTTCTTAACGAAAATTTGTGTTTATGTAGATGCCTTAATACACGCTTTTTCACATGTTGATGTTATTACATTATCAGAGATTTTGAGTTTCCGAGTGAGTGTAATCCACATCTAGATCCTAGGTGAAGGATTTTACAGCTGGAATATCTGTGTATGTGTTTCCATATAATTAGACATCTGCTTTCTTGTGGCTCAGTTGGTAGAGCATTGTGCCAACAACGCAAATGTCGTGGGTTAAAATCTTAGGGATAGATGTGTTAATTCATTCAAATGTAAGTCGCTCTGGATAAAAGCGTCTGCCAAATGCTTAAATTTAAAAGTAAATGTGAACGTGAACAGTTCCTTTAACATGCATATATGTGTATATATATATATATATATATATATATATATATATATATATATTTGCTGAAAGTAATGCTCAATTAGAACCAAAATATGTCCTATTGTTAGTGAATATCACGACGCTTATGTTGCATCCATGTTCTGGACTGCACAAAGTTATTTACTCTAGAGAAGCAAGAACATCTGTGTATACAGCCACAAAGAACATCTAGAGATGTGTTGTGCTTTGTATCCTGTTTGTTTACTCCGAATATAGACATGCTTATGCTGTCTCTGTGGTTATCCATGCAACTTTGATCAGTAGTCTATCACTGCAAGTTGATGGTTCTGTAATCGTCTGTCAACCGTTGCTGGTGAAATAAGGCAGAGAGGATACCAGAATTAGCATTTTCTCCACATAACGGACACTATGACTTGTCATGGCAGAGAGAATTTGGACCCGTCGAGGAGATGAACAGAACAATCCATTTTTTTAATTTGCCATAAAAAATTACATTATATGTTTAATTAAAATAAGGAATGAAATTGGACAGCAAAATTCCTAAAATTAGTTCTTCATCTTTTACGTGTTGGTGCCGTAGAAAATATGGATGCAATACCATTATATTTTACCATATTAATTAGGGGTGTAACGGTTCACGGTATGTATTGAACCGTTTCGGTACGGCCTGTTCGGTTCGGTACACTTGCGTACCGTTTCGGTATTCTGTATTTGTTTTAAATAATATAAATGTATTATTAGCGCGTTATTAAGCGCAGCGGAACAATGTTCCTAGGCGAGTTTCCGCACAGACGCTTCCTAGTAGCAGAACACGAGTAAGAAAATGACATCATGGCAACAGCGAAAGAGAAGCCAGAGCTTGAAGACGGTCTCCACTTTGGCTTCTCTGTTAAAATACATAACGGGGATAGACGAGTGGATAAATTTAAAGTTGTATGCCGACATTGTTCCACGGAGATCGGGCAGGCAACACATCTAACATTTTCTACTGCTGGAGATAGTCACTGCAACCAGATCTGTGCTCTCTTCAGAAAATGTGGATAGGTTAATCTATCCTATCTATCCTAACTAGTTGCAGTATTTAATTTTTTATTTAAAAAAATGTGTTTTTCTTTATAAAGAGTGCAATTTATTTAAAATATCACCCAAATGTGTCACTTTTATTTATTTTATGCAAGAATTCTATTGTGTATTGGCAGCTTTTCAAAATAAAGATTATGTAAGTTCTTATTTTTTTTTGTACCGTACCGAACTCTCCAAGACACTGTACCGAACCGAATATGATTTTAGCATACCGTTACACCCCTAATATTAATATAAACTATGCTAATTTTTTTCATAGTTCATTTTAAGGTCTATGCTCCTACAGTTGTTTATTTTACCTCCAAATTCACCTGACAAACAAAAATCGATAAACACTTGGTTTTTGCACTTTTTAAGATAACACAGGAAAACCTTTGCTGAAGTTTTTTTCTTTGTCAAAGTCTATGTGGGAAAAGACATTTCTACTCAAGTGTAATGTTTTGTAGGTCTCTACTTAATCTTTAATTAGAGATGATGCAGATCTGTAGGTCAAAGGATTCTCACTCACTAAGCAGATATATTTACCAGTCTTGCAACAAGCTCACACACACACACACACACACACACACACACGCACGCACATGCGCACACACAGATAACATGTTTAGCTAACGAAAGAAACACTACAGGGCTTCCAAGCAGAGAATTTAAGATGTAGTCAGTCAATAATAAGGGTCATGTCACCAGGCGACCGCTTGTATTGGGAGTTAGATTAGATAACCCTTCTGTCCAGTGTATTGCCTCAACTGCCCCCTGGTCTGAGTCGACCAGATGCTATCAGCATCTCTGAAGTCAAACATATGCAAATAATGTTGCCCTCTGCTTTTCTAGTCAAACTAGTGAGTGGTTGAATGGGCTTCCTTGTCTTATCATTTGCACGAATCATTTGCATCTCAGAATTCTGCCACCGTCCGTTTGGGAGCATTTGTTTTAAACGATTTTGACTCTTGTTTTATGCAACAAATTTGAAACTATATGTTTCACCAATGTGTTTGGAAAATGCTTGTTTTCCTCCAACAACCTTGAAATGGATTTTAGTTTGAAACAGGACTGTTGTAACTGAGGTGGTGCATTGTTTTTTTTTTTATACAAAAAATCAAAACACAAACGTCATGTGGTTTTGCTGAAATTGGTTGAGAGTATTCAACAATGAAGCTACATTCACATCAAAAGCATTAAAATAGCCAGTCGCTAGAGTGGTCGCTAGTGGCCAATCACCGTCAGATCGCCCAGTAATGACTGGTTGAAGTAATGTGATGCTGTCTCGCATCTGAATGAACACAGCTATTTAAAAACTTGTTTGTCACCGTCGCCAACTGTCACTCTTTTGTTTCTGGAATAACTACATTGAAAATGAGAGAACTTGTTGCTGCTCATCGCTTTTGGTGTGAATGTGGCTCAAAAGCCTCTACACACTGATCTGAATTTAGATTTGCACGAATCTTCAGGTGGCTTCTCAGCAGGGTGCTCTTCATCTGGGTAGATGGAAATAATGACGCTCAATGCCTGTAGATGGCATTTGCAGAACAACACAGAGAAATAGGAAAGAACACATTGAAAAAAAATAATGAATGTCAAGCTTTATACTGTCGGTGGCTTATCACAAAAAGATGTTTGACTAAATTGTGAAGAAAAGAGAGGCACTACTTGTTTGGTCAGATGTGTTATGTCCCATTGGGACTCATGGTTTTCGATCAAGGCAGGTTGTTGCATGAAACGTTGGACCAAAAATTTGGATCCGTGTGTATTCTGACATGTAAGTTTCTAACACTTACCTCAACACCTGGTTTCAAGGGCTAAGATGAAGGGCACCTATATTTGTTGGGCTCTTTGGTTGCGCTGATGCCCTCACCCCTTTTGATGTGATTGATTTTACCCTTTTCTTTTTAAGTGTATCCCCAGACATCTTTTGAAACAGAAAGCCGTATGGCCATTTTTATAGCCATTCACCTTCATTGGACTAAGATTTGGAACACCTCATGTTTGCATAAAGAAACGGAACTCAGCCTTATTAGTGCACTGAACCACAGTCTATTGTGTGAGCATCATCACATTTTAAACTATGCAAAAAAAGACTCCAATGGTGTAGAGAGAAAAGTATTTCACTTGTGTGTGCCCCTTGGGTTCGGTTTGTAAAACTTCCATCAAGAGTATTCCGGTACATTCCGGTTGGGGTGTAATCCAGGCGTATTCTGACCAATAGAAAGCCCCAAAAAAAGGATGCTCCAGTTTTGTAGTTCATATGACCTTTTTTTATAATGATGTAGTGCCTCATTTCTTTGTAAAAAAAAAAATTCTAATTCATCAACTGAGTATTTGAGTGTAGATCCCTACAGTTTTTTTTATTACTCATTCATTTTAGTTGTATTAATCCTTTAAACTTTAGCCACTTCTGCATCCATGCTATGTCTACATCCCGCCTCAGTGCACCCTTTGCCCAATTATGATTACCAAGTAATAGCACACTGATATGATGCCCAATTAGATTTTATGGCATTGAACTCCAAGGGGTGTTTAGAGTATCTGGAAACTCTAGATCATTATGTCTTGCTAACAAAATACAGTGGAAAAATTAAACACTAAATATAAAGTATTTTAAGTTGTATTTTAAGTATCCACGCTTGGTTAAAGAATGGTATACTTACTGCAAAAACAAGTGTGGTTCAGGTTGAATTACAAACTTTTCCAGATATGAGGTGCAACACATATCCAGCAGGACATTGGGTCTCTGGCTCCAAATGAAATTTGAAATTGGAATTGAGAAGATGCTAACATTCCATTCTCCCCAAATCACTGAAACCAGACCTGATTTTATTTCTTTAACTGAACCCTCCATAGCTGAATCAGTTGAGGCTATGCTTGTGAAGTGGAATATTTCAAAATCCCATGTTCATGTTATTTTGCGCGACAATGCAAGCAACATGAAAAAAGCCATGAAAAAACAGATTAGCTCCTCCACCTCGTCTGTAGCGAAAGTGATCTCCTCAGTTACAGTTCTAAAACGGCTACTTGCTCGGCAGAGCCAGGAGGACACTGGTATAAAAACAATGAAAAACACCCTTCTTGAGGCCGTCAAGAAATGATTTGCAACCATCGAGGAAGAGCCCTTGTATGCAGTTGCAACTCTCTTGTATCCACATTTCAAAGATAGGGTATGTCTATTAATTTTTTTTCAGGTCCATATTGATTATTTTCATTGCCATATTGAGTACATCTGAAGCACAGCATAAAATAATTCTGTCAATTAATACAGGGCTAGTAGTATCCACAGCTGTATATGTAGATAGACACCCAGGTATCGGATTGGTACTCGGTATGGGCCGATACCAAGAGCCCAAGTATCGGGGTCGGTATCGGGAGGGGAAAAATAGTATCAGAACATCTCTAAAGTTAAGTAAACAAGTCATTTAGACTGTGGATGAGAACCCTTAATTGAATTGTTAGCCTGAGACAACTTAAACCATCTAACATTCTGTTTAAATGATTAATTATCATCTAACGCATCAAAACTTTGAACAGGATCATAATTAAAACAGTTCAAACATATGTTTGTATATTTTTATATGTGATTTCATCCATAGTTACTTATATTTAAATATCAAATTAAGGGTACCCAAGTAATCATGTTTGTAACTTTGGGTGGACTGAGTGATTAGTGCACCTTTTAAATTGATAGACCACTATATATATATATATATATATATATATATATATATATATATATATATATATATATATATATATATATATATATATATATATTATAAAGTTGACCTCCCTTTACCTGTTTTAGTCATAAAAGTTTTACTCAATGTTAACCAGTAG